CCTTTCCTTTCTCTCTCTCCCTTCTCTCCTTTCCTCTCTCCTTCTTCTCTCCTTCTTTTTCTCCTTTTTCTTTTTCTTCTCTTCTAATTCTCTCTCTTCTTCTCTTCTCTTTTTTTTTCTTCTTCTGCTTTTTCTTCTTCCCTTCTCTTCTCTCTTCTTCTCTTCTCTTCTCCTTCCTTCTCTTCGCGTCCTCTTCCTTTTTCTTTTCTTCTTTTCTCTTTTTTTTTCTCGTGGGGTTGTTTCGTTTTTTCCTTTCTTCTTCCCCTCTTCCTCCGTCTCCCTTCGCTCTCCTCTTTCTGCCTTCTTCTTCTTCCTCTTCTCTTTTTTTTTCGTTCTTTCGCCCTTTTTCTTCTCGCTCTTCTTCGCCTTCTCTCTCTTCTCGTCTCTTTCTCCTTCTCTCTTCTCTTCTCCTCTTTCTTTTTCTTCTCTTTTCTTCTTTTCCTCTTTTTCCTTCTTCCTTTTTGGCTTTTCCCTCGAAGGAGAGGAGAGTTGAGAGAGGAGGAGAGGAGAGAGGAGGAGGAGGAGGATAGGACGTTAACCCCCTACAGTCTATTGACGCACCGGTGCGTCATTCTAAGTAACATCATAATACAATCCCCATCAAAATCCATCAGTTAAAGCTAGAGATATCTGTTTATTGCGTGGGCTGCGTCTCAATGCACCACATCCGCCCACATCTACGGTGGAAGGTAGCCAAGCTACAACGATGTTTGTCAGACCATGAGACATCCCGAAAATCGGTCTTCTCACAAAAATGTCTGTAGCGCCTGAACGGTTTGGTCTTCAAACTAATATGACCACTCTATTGAAAGATGAGACTCTCACGAACACGATTCGCTCTACGACCCCATAAGCCCCATGGGTGTCTTCTGAGGTCAGTACCGTCGATGTGCCAATTTCTGTTTGTAGCGTCCGAACCGTTTGGGCTACAAACTAATGTGACCCCACTGTGGAAAGGGGAAATTCTCACGAACATGATAGTGTTCTCCGTTTTGACCCCCACAAGTGTCACAGGACCCGTCTGAAGGTAACAGGTACCGGTTTACAAAATGAATGGAAGTATGGAGGTAGTTTTGTGCCTACCCCAAAAAAGAGGTTAAATATGTGTCATAAAATACAAAAATATTCCCTGAACTTTCTTATGTCTCCTAGATATAGGACAGACACTTCAAAACCTTATTTCTTATGATTTATAGTTATTTTGCCATTTATTAATGTGTTATTCAACACATTTATATGGGCTATAGTAGCAAAGGACACATATTTGGTATTTGGTATTTTATTAGGATTCTCATTAGCTGTTGCAAAAGCAGCAGCTACTCTTCCTGGGGTCCACACAGAACATGAAACATGACATAATACAGAACATTATTAGACAAGAACAAGCTCAAGGACAGAACTACATACATTTGAAAATGGCACACGTAGTCTACATATCAATACATAAACGCAAACTATCTAGGTCAAATAGGGGAGAGGCGTTGTGCCGTGAGGTGTTGCTTTATCTGTTTTTTAAACCAGGTTTGCTGTTCACTTGAGCAGTATGAGATGGAAGGGAGTTCCATGCAATAATGGCTCTACATAATACTGTACTCTTTCTTTCATTTGTTCTGGATTTGGGGACTGTGAAAAGACCCCTGGTGGCATGTCTGGTGGGGTAAGTGTGTGTGTCAGAGCTGTGTGTAAGTTGACTATGCAAACAAATTTGAATTTTCAACACATTAATGTTTCTTATAAGAAGAAGAAGTGATGCTGTCAGTCTCTCCTCAACTCTTAGCCAAGAGAGACTGGCATGCATAGTATTTACAGTGGGGGGGAAAAGTATTTAGTCAGCCACCAATTGTGCAAGTTCTCCCACTTAAAAAGATGAGAGAGGCCTGTAATTTTCATCATAGGTACACGTCAACTATGACAGACAAATTGAGAAAAATAAATCCTGAAAATCACATTGTAGGATTTTTAATGAATTTATTTGCAAATTATGGTGGAAAATAAGTATTTGGTCACCTACAAACAAGCAAGATTTCTGGCTCTCACAGACCTGTAACTTCTCCTCTGTCCTCCACTCGTTACCTGTATTAATGGCACCTGTTTGAACTTGTTATCAGTATAAAAGACACCTGTCCACAACCTCAAACAGTCACACTCCAAACTCCACTATGGCCAAGACCAAAGAGCTGTCAAAGGACACCAGAAACAAAATTGTAGACCTGCACCAGGCTGGGAAGACTGAATCTGCAATAGGTAAGCAGCTTGGTTTGAAGAAATCAACTGTGGGAGCAATTATTAGGAAATGGAAGACATACAAGACCACTGATAATCTCCCTCGATCTGGGGCTCCACGCAAGATCTCACCCCGTGGGGTCAAAATGATCACAAGAACGGTGAGCAAAAATCCCAGAACCACACGGGGGGACCTAGTGAATGACCTGCAGAGAGCTGGGACCAAAGTAACAAAGCCTACCATCAGTAACACACTACGCCGCCAGGGACTCAAATCCTGCAGTGCCAGACGTGTCCCCCTGCTTAAGCCAGTACATGTCCAGGCCCTTCTGAAGTTTGCTAGAGTGCATTTGGATGATCCAGAAGAGGATTGGGAGAATGTCATATGGTCAGATGAAACCAAAATAGAACTTTTTGGTAAAAACTAAACTCGTCGTGTTTGGAGGACAAAGAATGCTGAGTTGCATCCAAAGAACACCATACCTACTGTGAAGCATGGGGGTGGAAACATCATGCTTTGGGGCTGTTTTTCTGCAAAGGGACCAGGACGACTGATCCGTGTAAAGGAAAGAATGAATGGGGCCATGTATCGTGAGATTTAGAGTGAAAACCTCCTTCCATCAGCAAGGGCATTGAAGATGAAACGTGGCTGGGTCTTTCAGCATGACAATGATCCCAAACACACCGCCCGGGCAACGAAGGAGTGGCTTCGTAAGAAGCATTTCAAGGTCCTGGAGTGGCCTAGCCAGTCTCCAGATCTCAACCCCATAGAAAATCTTTGGAGGGAGTTGAAAGTCCGTGTTGCCCAGCGACAGCCCCAAAACATCACTGCTCTAGAAGAGATCTGCATGGAGGAATGTGCCAAAATACCAGCAACAGTGTGTGAAAACCTTGTGAAGACTTACAGAAAACGTTTATAATAAATAATAATAATAATATGCCATTTAGCAGACGCTTTTATCCAAAGCGACTTACAGTCATGCGTGCATACATTTTTGTGTATGGGTGGTCCCGGGGATCGAACCCACTACCTTGGCGTTACAAGCGCCGCGCTCTACCAGCTGAGCTACAGAGCTACAGAGGACACGTTTGACCTGTGTCATTGCCAACAAAGGGTATATAACAAAGTATTGAGAAACTTTTGTTATTGACCAAATACTTATTTTCCACCATAATTTGCAAATAAATTCATTAAAAATCATACAATGTGATTTTCTGGATTTTTCTCTTCTCAATTTGTCTGTCATAGTTGACTTGTACCTATGATGAAAATTACAGGCCTCTCTCATCTTTTTAAGTGGGAGAACTTGCACAATTGGTGGCTGACTAAATACTTTTTTTCCCCACTGTATATCAGCCCTCTGATTACAATGAAGAGCAAGATGTGCCGCTCTGTTCTGGGCCAGCTGCAGCTTAACTAGGTCTTTCCTTGCAGCACTCGACCACACGACTGGACAATAATCAAGATAAAACTAAACTAGAGCCTGCAGGACTTACATTTTGTTATGAAATAATGTTTTTATATATTTTTTTAGATACCTAAAGGGGTCCTAAAATTCTAAATCAAATAGCCAAATGATCCATGGTGTGACCATCTTAAAACAACTCCATATGTTAGCTTAGAACCCCCCCCCCCCCCCCCCCCCAAACCTGACTAGAATATAGAGTAACAGCCTCCCATGGATCAGTCAACCTGATTAGAATAGAGGGTAACAGTCTCCCATGGATCAGTCAACCTGATTAGAATAGAGGGTAACAGTTTCCCATGGATCAGTCAACCGTACCATAATGGGTCCAGGTCTAGGCCAGACCCGATTGGACCCAAGTGACAAACTAATTATGTTTATCTGCCAAGTTGCTCTTCTGGTTAATGAATAGGTCTTTATATGTTGGCTAGGCCTTCTATAAGTCAATAAATTCACCTTTATTAGTGTAAAATAAATATGCTATAGGCTATGCGGAGCCGTGGTTGCGTACATTCTGGTCCACCCGGGTCTATCAGCTGTAGTTACATAGACCCGAGACCCAATGACAATCAAACAGTACCGGACCCGCACCCGAGGGACAAGTTAGAATTTCAGACCCAAACCCGATCGGGCCCGGGTCGGTCCTCGGGTATATCGGGTCCACCCGGTCCCGTGAAGACCTCTAACAGAGAGTAACTGTCTCCCATGGACTCAGTCTGACCTGAATAGAACAGACTGGTGGTGATACAGGAAGTAACTCCTACTACTCCCCAGTCCTCAGTCATGCTAAGTATAGGATATTCTACTGTGATAAATAAAGATACTATGTGCAATGGAGCTCCTGAGACTGCACCTAGATAATGTAGCATATCATCTATGATATCGGTATGATACTCTGTGGAGTTAAGTGCTCTTCGGTCTTTCATCTGTGCTCATGCACGTGAAGTGGAGCTCCGAGACTGGACTTAACATGCACTTTCTTTGGTCATGTGATTGTACACACGTGTGTAAGTGTGGTATCACGCTATCCCACTCTTCCTTCGTTTCATCTGTGCTCATATACGGCCTGTATAGCACACCGTACATTTAAACCTCTCTCCATCCTCCATCTCTCCATACACCGGTGTCTCCTAATAGAAGTATCTATGATCCTGTATCAAAGCTTTTAAGAGCTCTCTCAATTCAGTATGTTCAAGAAAAAAATGTGTAATAGAATAGGGTCCTCTATTGAGGTGCAGCTTGCCCTGGCCTGCAGTGATAGTTTCAGTTATGGAGTTATACACGTGTTGTTGCACTGTATGTGTTCATAGAGACATCACATCTAGAGACTTCAAATCTAGAGATGTCACATCCACATCTAGAGACGTCACATCCACATCTAGAGACGTCACATCCACATCTAGAGACGTCACATCCACATCTAGAGATGCCACATCTAGAGATGTCACATCCACATCTAGAGATGTCACATCCACATCTAGAGACGTCACATCCACATCTAGAGACTTCAAATCTAGAGACGTCACATCCACATCCAGAGACGTCACATCTAGAGACTTCAAATCTAGAGATGTCACATCCACATCTAGAGGACCAATCACCATCCACATCTAGAGACGTCACATCCACATCTATTAGAGACGTCACATTCCACATCTTAGAAGAACGTCACATCCACATCTAGAGGACGTCACCATCCCAATCTAGAGACGTCAAATCCACATCTAGAGACGTTCACACCATCCCATCTAGAGACGTCACATCTAGAGATGGTCACCTCCACATCTAGAGATGTTCAATCCACATCTAGAGACGTCCATCCATCTAGACTCCATCCACATCTAGAGTCACATCTAGAGAGTCACATCCACATCTAGAGAATCGTCACATCCACATCCACACTCTACAGAGTCACATCAGAACGTCACATCCACATCTAGAGACGTCCCACATCAGACGACACAAATCCTCCACATCTAGAGACGTCACATCCACATCTAGAGACGTCACAAGAATCCATCCATCAGAGACGTCACATCCACCATCTAGAGACGTCACATCCACATCTAGAGACGTCACATCCACATCTAGAGACGTCACATCCACATCTAGAGACGTCACATCCACATCTAGAGACGTCACATCCACATCTAGAGACGTCACATCCACATCTAGAGACGTCACATCCACATCTAGAGACGTCACATCCACATCTAGAGATGTTCACACAACTCCACATCTAGAGACGTCACAATCCACATCTAGAGACATCACATCCACACTCTAGAGACGTCACATCCACATATCATCTGAGACGTCCACTCCACATCTAGAGATGTCACATCCACATCTAGAGACGTCAAATCCACATCTAGAGACGTCCCATCCACATCTAGAGATGCACTCCATCCCATCTAGAGATGTCACATCCGCCCATCTAGAAGTACGTCAAATCCAACATCTAGAGACGTCACATCCACATCTAGGAGACGTAACATCCAAATCTAGAGACGTCACATCCACATCTAGAGACGTCAACATCCAAATCTAAGAGTCTCCACATCCTAGAGTTGTCACATCCACATCTAGAGACGTCACATCCACATCTAGAGACGTCACATCCACATCTAGAGACGTCACATCCACATCTAGAGACGTCACATCCACATCTAGAGACGTCACATCCACATCTATGAGTGAGTCAGGCCAGGAGGTAATGTTGTGAATGACTGGGGTTGAATGAGTCAGGCCAGAAGGTAATGTTTTTTTGCTTGAATTGACTGGGGTGAAGAGTCCAGGCAAGAAGGTACTGTTGTGAATGAATGGGTGAGTGAGGCAGTTGGAAGGTAATGTTGTGAATGCCTGGGGTTGAGTGAGTCAGGTCAGAATGAAATGTTGTGAATGCCTGGGGTTGAGTGGTGTCAGGCCAGAAGGTAATGTTGTGAATGACTGGGATTGAATGATTCAGGCCAGAAGGTAATGTTGTGAATGACTGGGATTGAGTGAGTCAGGCCAGAAGGTAATGTTGTGAATGACTATGTTTGAATGAGTCAGGCCAGAAGGTAATGTTGTGAATAACTGGGGTTGAGTGAGACAGGCCATACTTATTTTCCACCATAATTTGCAAATAAATTCCTAAAAAATCCTACAATGTGATTTTCTGGATTTTTTTTCTCAATTTGTCTGTCATAGTTGACGTGTACCTATGATGAAAATTACAGGCCTCTCTCGTCTTTTTAAGTGGGAGAACTTGCACAATTGGTGGCTGACTAAATACTTTTTTTCCCCACTGTAGATGCTTACACCCATCTGCAATCTCCGTCCACAACGCCTTAGCAAAACCGAAACCTACTTGAAGGTAACAGTGCTCACTGTTGACCCTAGAGGCCGGTTTCCACGTAATCTGCCAACGTCCTCAGACATGGATGGACGTTGAATACTGACTTGGCTCTATTTTTCAGCTTTACTTAACCCCCTCTACAGTGGTGCTATACTTAACCCCCCTCGACGGTGCTGCTTTCCTTAACCCCCTGGACGGTGCTGCTTTACTTAACACCCTGGACGGTGCTGCTTTACTTAACCCCCTCGACGGTGCTGCTTTACTCAACCTCCTCGATGGTGCTGCTTTCCTTAACACCCTGGACGGTGCTGCTTTACTTAACCCCCTCGACGGGGCTGCTTTACTCAACCTCCTCGATGGTGCTGCTTTCCTTAACCCCCTGGATGGTGCTGCTTTACTTAACCCCCTCGACGGTGCTGCTTCACTCAACCCCCTCAACGGTGCTGCTTTACCCAACACCCTCGACGGGGCTGCTTTTAATGCATACAAAGAAACAGCCAGTTAAGCCTGTCTAGACTCTGAATTGACGGATCATAATGTTTCAGAAAACCACTTTTAATACAAAAGCAGCAGACGCTCAATAGTCTCATTCTGTAGCTTGTTATATTATATGTCACCAGACGCAAAAGCACACAGGCACACACACACACACACACACACACACACACACACACACACACACACACACACACACACACACACACACACACACACTTGTTATATTATAAAACACCAGACAGAGGCAATAGAGAAAAATAGTGTGCATGATACATTTGTGTTCTTTCAAGCTTATCCACAAATAACAGCATAACACAAACTGATCAATACTTATGCCCTTTTAAGAGGACAGGTCTGATCTTAGTTTCAAGGTTATTCACTTTATACTGTATATCCATTAATAGGAACACTGTAATTCAACAACTAAAGGAATTGAGGCGTGAATGCCATACTTCAGTTGCTTTGTTGTTGGGGACAGTGTTTCCATTACAGCGGAGCTATTAGGCCCAATTGGTCTCTATATAAATTGAATGAATACTCCATTTCATTGGAAATTGACTCCATTTCATTGTTAAGAATACTATTAGATCCTCCAGAGTCTGGTCTTTGTATCTGAGGTGGACATGTGATGAGTAAATCACTTGGAGCTGAGTATCGATCCCTCCACTCTGATCGGAAAACAATTTAATGAACATTCGCCAGGGTGACACACCCACACACACGGGTAGGAGTAGGGCAGCCATTTTGTGAGCCCCTCATCTTGTTCCCAGGGCAGTTGATGTCATCATCAGTATTGAGTCGTGTCAATATATGTTGACTTCCACTAAAACACACTAAAGCCTTTCTCCATTGTCTTCAGCAGTCACGCCATCTGCAGGTCTAATGTTAAAAAATATTTAAAAAAACATTTAAAAAATAAAACATTAAAAAAAAAAAAAAAATGTAAAGTGGTTATCCCACTGGCTATAAGGTGAATGCACCTATTTGTATGTCGCTCTGGATAAGAGCGTCTGCTAAATGACGTAAATGTAAATGTAAATGTACAGTTGAAGTCGGAAGTTTACATACACCTTAGCCAAATACATTTAAACTCAGTTTTTCACAATTCCTGACATTTAATCCTAGTACAAATTCCCTGTTTAGGTCAGTTAGGATTACCACTTTTTTTTAAGAATGTGAAATGTCAGAATAATAGTAGAGAGAATGATATATTTCAGCTTTTATTTATTTCATCACATTCCCAGTGGGTCAGAAGTTTACATACACTCAATTAGTATTTGGTAGCATTGCCATTTAAATTGTTTAACTTGAGTCAAACGTTTTGGGTAGCATTCCACAAGCTTCCCACAATAAGTTGGGTGAATTTTGTCCCATTCCTCCTGACAGAGCTGGTGTAACTGAGTCAGGTTTGTAGGCCTCCTTGCTCGCACACGCCTTGTCAGTTCTGCCCACAAATGTGCCGCTACAGAGCGTGGTGGGGATCATTACTGGGGCCGAGCTCCCTGCCATCCAGGACATCTATACCAGGCGGTGTGGTAGGAAGGCCCGGAACACCGTTAAAGACTCCAGCCACCCAAGCCATAGACTATTCTCTCTGCTTACGTACGGTAAGCGGTACCGGTCCATCAAGTCTGGCACCAACAGGCTCCTGAACAGCTTCTATCCCCAAGCAATAAGACTGATAAATAGTTAACAAAATAGCTACACGGACTGTCTGAGTTAACCTTGGATCCTCATTGACCTTTTCATTTGTATTTTTCTCTCTATGCTCACTCACAGGGCCCTACACACTCAAACACACTGTCACTCCAACACACACACACCACACACACACAAACACACACACACACACACACACACTCCATCATCTTCTCTCTCACACGTGACATGCACATACATTTATACTGACTCTACACACACCCACTCACATACAAGCTGCTGCTACTCTGTTTATCTTATATCCTGTTGCCTAGTCACTTTACCCCTATACATATCTACCCCCATCACTCCAGTATCCCTGCCCCCTTACCCCTATACATATCTACCCCCATCACTCCAGTATCCCTGCCCCCTTACCCCTATACATATCTACCCCCATCACTCCAGTATCCCTGCCCCCTTACCCCTATACATATCTACCCCCATCACTCCAGTATCCCTGCCCCCCTTACCCCTATACATATCTACCTCCATCACTCCAGTATCCCTGCCCCCTTACCCCTATACATATCTACCCCCATCACTCCAGTATCCCTGCACGTTGTACATATGGTATTGGAACTGCAAACATTTGCCTCCGCCCCCATGGCAAAATGAGTAGAATTGCATGAAATGAGTTATAAAACAGACATTTGTTCTATTCCCTGTCACGAGGTGGGCCGCTAAAATGGTTTGTTCGCAAGGTGCAGCACCTCGTGTTGAGTTCGGTTTTTATATGGCCCCCAACCCCATCAAAGTTGCCCATCCTTGAGTTAGAGCTAGGTTATATCAACCGGTCATGTTGTATCATATCATGTTCAATAGTCATGTTCAATAGAAAGTATGAATATTATCCAACACTATATCTGTCAGTCATGATTGTCTGTTCAATAGACATAATGAATAGTATCTAACACTGTATAAGTTGAACAGCATACTCCAGCAGCGAAATCATCTGCATCTGTCTTGTACAGTCATTTTACTGTTCCATATTTCATGTGTCGTCGTTTGAAGTCCCCGGGACGAGAAATTTGATCAAAGAAGAACTAAATGAATAAGTGATAAAGTTGCAATTTAGCTTCAGTCTGTCTTCTGGTGACTGTGGCTGTGGGTATTTTTAGCCCAGAGTCCTTTGCAATATTCTTAACACTTCCTGTTAGTTCTATTCTCCACTCAGAGTGAGTTGAGACAGGAAGCAGGAAATACACAAGGTAACGACCTCGCTCAATGAAAGGTTTTCTGAAGTAGGGACTATGTAAGGACGTTGACCGTTAGAAACGCTAAACCACGTGAAGCTCGGTGAATGTAGCTTTCTCCCTCTTGAACCTCTGTCCTGTCGCCGCAACATCATGTCTGCGTCTTTACGGCTAAACGCTTGTTTTGAATAGTAAACACAAAATAAAAGTCCACAGATGAAGACATCGACATTTCCCATGAACGTGAGCAGTCTAAAGCTCTCTCGAAAAACCTACTGTTTGGACAACAGTTTATCACACTGTGGAAACAACCTTACAAGCAATGGGACTGCGTTCACTAACTCCTATACTGCGCTCTACATATCAAAATGATTTACAAAAGGCCCAATGTTAGAGAAACAGGCCTTCCTGCACTTCTGTTCTATCTGACTAAAAGAAGGAAGGCAGAGGATGAGAAGTGAGTCAGACGTAGAGACAGATACACAGGGATAGTCAACTACTGGTAACGTCTCAAATCGCTCCGACGCCACACCAGTCACTTGTTCATTGATCTGTTGTCAGGGGATATTAAAAGAATGTGCAGAATCCCCCAGTGTTACTGTTGACCGCCTTCCGCTGTGTGACACAGTCAATTAAAACGGAGGAACGGAAAGAAAAGGAATCCACAGAGCGAGGCAATCCAGACGCAGACAGGATAAAGGATTGGCATTCTCCAAGAGTCTTCCGGTAAAATGGCTGCAGTGGTTTGTTTCCAATGCTGAGAAAATAAAGTGGTGAAGATTAATCCTACAAATACACTAGTAGATATTGTGATTTCTGTTAATCTATTTACATATTATGATTTCTGTTAATCTATTTACATATTATGATTTCTGTTTGTCATGGATTCAGCCGAGGCTGCTCTTCCTCCTTGCTCGGGCAGGCTTTCAGCGTTCGTCGTCACCGGAGTACTAGCTGCCACCGATCTATGTTTCTGTG